CTAGGGAAGGATCTGTTTTGGATATACAAGGACGCTCGTTTGATTAGTCTTGACCGGAATATCTAGCTCGTCGAATTATAATACTTATGTATTTTTATATCTCGTATCATGTGTCGCACAAAAATACATAATATAATTATTTTAACGAATGAAAGATTTATGTAATTAAATTATTATAAAACTGAATAAAAATCTACATTTTGTACGTGACTAATCTATTTTCCTGCACGTTTTAGTCTCTACTCGTCATTAATATTAATTAAATGTGATTAACAGACTACAGATTTTATGTATTCAGAGAAATGTTATGAATTCAGAGAAAAGTATAAAGGAAATCTTAATTTAAATTTCATTTTTAAATCGACATTCCAAAAGTTGAATTTTGTATAAAAACTCACAGTAATTAATATTCTACTTAATGGTCGAAAAATTGCTATAAATTGCTATAAATAGTTTTACACTCGTAAGGAAGATTTCATTCATCTTCACCCCATTAATGAACCATTCGTATGTCGTCACGTTGTCGCGTCACGTCGATTCGTGGAAAATTTGCGAATTCTATATCTACGTCTATTCTCGACAAATCGATACCTACTGTTCGTCGAGTAGCGAAGGAAGCCAACGACGAATTCACTCTTGTCGATCAACGACCGTGTAATAGAGCAGACGAATTATAATACTTATGTATTTTTATATCTCGTATCATGTGTCGCACAAAAATACATAATATAATTATTTTAACGAATGAAAGATTTATGTAATTAAATTATTATAAAACTGAATAAAAATCTACATTTTGTACGTGACTAATCTATTTTCCTGCACGTTTTAGTCTCTACTCGTCATTAATATTAATTAAATGTGATTAACAGACTACAGATTTTATGTATTCAGAGAAATGTTATGAATTCAGAGAAAAGTATAAAGGAAATCTTAATTTAAATTTCATTTTTAAATCGACATTCCAAAAGTTGAATTTTGTATAAAAACTCACAGTAATTAATATTCTACTTAATGGTCGAAAAATTGCTATAAATTGCTATAAATAGTTTTACACTCGTAAGGAAGATTTCATTCATCTTCACCCCATTAATGAACCATTCGTATGTCGTCACGTTGTCGCGTCACGTCGATTCGTGGAAAATTTGCGAATTCTATATCTACGTCTATTCTCGACAAATCGATACCTACTGTTCGTCGAGTAGCGAAGGAAGCCAACGACGAATTCACTCTTGTCGATCAACGACCGTGTAATAGAGCAGCCCTTTTCGGACAATTAGTGAAACGGTAGTCGACTTCAAGTTTTGTGCTCGTCTGTGTAAATTCAAGAAGCAGAAATAGTAATAGCAGCCATAGTAAGTATAATTTCAGTTCGTGTTCAATTACGCGACAGGCATGTTTGCAATCGCTCTCTATTCCTCCGTTAATTGCGCATGCGATACACACACTTCGACGACGCAGTTTTCTCCACGCGACCGCGCGTAATTATCAATTAACCGGCTGTCTCGTTAAGTGGAATCTTTAACGACATTATTTCGCGGACCTTCGCGTGCCTCCATCTAATTCTATTTTCGTCGAACGCAATCACGTCGACCTTTTTAATTTATTCATCGCTCTCTGCAAGTATCGTCCCTTGCGCTTTTGATCGGATGATGACAACCACCAAGCGCGCAATCCTTTTCGAATACTCTCTATAAAATGATTTGTAATTTCCAAGTTTAAATAAAAGGACATATGTCCTTTATTAATTTTTCCGAAGGAATTGTTGAAAGCTTACTATTTATTTATCGTCTCGTCGACTAACAGACTTACGTAACATTATAACTGCAAGAAAAGACATAAAGAACTTAAATCTTAAATATTATAATATGCAAAAACAAAGCAATATTTCGATGCAGATTGATTTTTCCTGGACACAAATGATCCATCTTTGTACAGTAAGGGTTAAGAATTTATTGACAGGACAGAATCTATGAATGCAATTTTTATTAAAACATACTGAAATTTCATTTTTTGTCAAACGTCATAAATAATGGGAATTAAGCTTTCTATCGGTGCAAAAATATCGCGAAGTTTGGCACGCGACGTGGGTGCGGCGACATATCCCCGTATGAAAAGGTTAACGGTGCCCCACATCGGCATTAATAAATGAACAGTATAAGGATCGATACACGGTCTCAGATAGAGGAGAGTTCGCGGCAAGGTAGTCGTACCTACCCGCTACTTTCTCGGTCTATACCGTACTGGCGCTGTATTTTTAAACGAACTAATCCATTTTTGATCGCCAACACTCCTTTCAAGTTCTTCCGTTCGCCGCACAAGTCACGTATAACCGTTGGGAATTCCTTTCGAATTCAATACGAAAAGCCACCCAACTTGAATTCGCGATACAATAAATTCGATTGTAAAACATTCAGATAAAATAATATAATAAACAAACTGCGGATTTTTATACAGCATAAAATCTTTATGTCATTTTCAGAGATGTGTTTAGGATCAATTTTTCTTCCTTCATTTAAACATTTTGATATGTTAAAGTTTTATACATTATATGCAGTGCAATTTTTGTTATGAATGCATTAAATTCGCAGTCCAATAATAAAATCAAGTTGAAACTCCGGATGGTAGTGCAGACAGCAAAATTTAACAAGCACAAATTGAAAACACAATATAATACACGAAGTAATATAAAATATCGACAGTGAATCTGCACATTGCTGCAGTTAAATAATAAAATTAATTTTTGTTTGAATTTCAGTTTTCCAATTAACTACCATAAATGCTTTATTTTACATAAAAATTTTCAGTCCATTTATAATGAAATCTAAATATGCAAGGATGATAACATGTATTACATGTGTATAATTTTGCAATAAAGCTTAGTACTAAGAATAAAAACAGATAACGTCGGCAGTATCGCGGCCCAAATTACAATAATTATTTCCCAGCGCGAGAGACATATGAGCCTAAAGCTTTTGCAAATGGATTATGGAAGCCCCAAGCATCGACCTGTCTGTCTATCTATCGAAACCTTGCAGCATGTTTTAATTGGTACAATGAACGCCGGGATGGCTGGAGTACGCAACGTGGAAAATATTTCACGCTTCCCGTTTCTTCCACCCTATTCCTCTCTGCATCTCCTCCCATATTGATTGCCTAGAAAATTTCACCTTGCCACGTAATTACATCTAAGGAGCTACACGATCGAAGCCCACCAATTTACCTACGTATACCGTAACGCAGTAGTACGCCGCGAGAACATCCACGATACTAAATTTTCATGGTACCATGGAAATTCTGTTATAGACAATAAATTAAATACCCTGGGACTCGAATAATTGCCCCACAATTATAAGTATAAAATATTACTATTGTAGCATAAATATACAATTTTAAGCATGATGTCATGCGGTTGCGATGGGATAGAAAGGAATAAATGTAATTAGGCCTGGAATAAAAATTGAACCAGTCTTCTGTTGCAGTTCTTTTTTGTAATCACTGCGAACGATGCTTTTTATTTCCCTTTCTGTATCAACGTAAACACGAAACACGAAAGGAGAGACAAAAACGAAAACAGTAATTCAAAGAACCGTAGACCGTTTCATTGGTACACGGGTCGAAATCACATTGTCTCATCCGTGTACCCGGGTAGAGAGACAGAAACCGATGGTATCTGGGTTAAGTAACTAAATCAATCAACTCTGAGAAAACAGGACAACGCAATTAGCGGCGCCGCTACGAATCTATCACGAGGTTTATAAAATTCCCCTTGGGAAAGGGGCGCATTTACCAGCTGCGTTCGTCGCGATGAAAGGGACAGGAAGTTTAAAAAAAACTAACGTTCTCTCTTATCAGATCCTCTAATTGGAAATTTTCACCTATGAGGCGCCAGTCGTCTGGTACCCTTCTAATTTTTTTCCTTTTTTATTGGCACCGCGTTAACGTTCTTCCTTTTGTGACACGGCGACGCGCATTCACCGGGCAAAATCGATCGGCGTTCATTGAAAACTTTCTTTTTTTCCGCGGTTCAAAGCTAAAAAGAAAACGCGATAGATGAGAAGGATAGAGGAGAAAGGAATCGACGCTTTTCGAGAATCGATGCGAATCGTCATTGTACTGAATTGTACGCGGTATACTGGCCGACAATGCTGACCGACTACCGTGCTATATGCGAGACGAGTGTTCTTGTCACCCGCAAATGCGACTGATACCTACCATTCGTTTTCATTATACAGCTATAAATACAGAAAGTATTGCTTAACGATGAATATTGTATATTTAATACAAAGATGTTCTTTAGTCAAACATTGAAATGTGCATTCAGCTTTTATTTGTCTGAATAGTTTTATACATTGCAAGCATTTTTATAAGTTGTTTAATATACAGTAAAAAATCTGTAGTCATTGTAATCTTTCAATTATTCTTACACATCCCTAAATGATTAAATAATTTTGCTATTTGAAATATATTCACGATTATGAATCCTGAAATCTGTAAATTCTTTGAGTGCTGTGTTTATAATTCCGTTGTCTTGAGCCATTCTTCCATAATTCGTTTCACAATAATCTCAATTTGTTTTCATTCACTTTTATAATAATTTGAAACATATTGAATTTGGCTTATAATAGTAGATGATAAAACAAAGTGTATCTAATTTTTTACTGAAAGATTTATTTTGTCAAAAGATTCATATGCACAAATCTAATAAAAGTAAGGATTGTATGAGATTCACGTCACTGCGGCTTTAAAGATAATATTAATCAAACTTCCTGAAGTTTCCTTTCAAGCGTCCATCAACTCGGCCTTGAATCGGATAATCCAATCCCCGGGTTTATTAACATTTCAAAGGGACTTCGAATCGATGAATTCTGAATAGAAATCGGAAGAGCAAATGTCACGGGGGGGCCGAGGAAAACTAAAATTTCTGCTTGAAAGAAAACATTCGCAGAATAGAATGTCGTCCTGTATTAATTTAAGATTAATTGTGTGTATTGCAGCAGCTCCATTCAGAGTATAGGAGCACGTACACATGGCACGAGTACACCGGTCCTCACCAAGAGCATACGGTCGTCCGTCGGGCGCCACAACCACCCCCGACGTCGAGTAAGTTCACCGCAATTTATTATTTATACTCTGCTGCCTCTTCCATTTAAACGTTCATATTCATACCAATTTTCACAGTCTAGCGGAAATAGTGGAATCAATCTTTTCGCTCAGAGCGATATCTAGTATTTCTTAAAATTAGTTAATGTCGCATAGAATTCTCCCTGGTATGGTGTTTGAGCAAATAACATTTCCCGTTTCTTAATTTCATGAGAGTTATATACATGTCACACGTGGTTTCTGCAATTTTTTTAAACAACTCTTACAATTTCCACAACTGGATGTAAATTATATGTGTAATACGTGGAACGCTTGGCAAAATTCTATGAATCATTTTGTTATACGCGTATGTCTAATGTTAAAAAGCTCTGATTGTAAGATAGGAAAGAAGAATTGTAAATTCCTTTGGAAAAACGGAACGGATTCAACAGTTCTTAGATCTTTCAATCACGTACGCGAATCGTGTGAAAGAGTTGAAAACGACTAAAAAGCGTAGGGAAGAGAAGACGGCCAGATAAGTTTTCTCAGGCAACCATACCACGCTATTTAATGGTTAATTGCCTCCATGAATTTGTTAGAATCGTAGCAGCAATCGCGAGCGTGAAAAAAATAAAAAAAAAGCTAAGAAACGCGAGGAATAAAAACAGAGCGACACGTACCGCATTTCCATTGCAATTACGTTTTGTCATAGTCCTTGCGGTGAATAACGTTGTTACGGTCACGATTAATACGTGGCAACGTCAAAATTTCCGCTACTCTGCTGTATTACCGTTCTCGACGTTTCCGAGTTCTCTGCTTCGTGAAAAGAAACGTGAATAATGCGACTTTTAATCAAACAGTATTGTGCAACGCGTAATTTCGAGGATTGCAATAACAGTGCGTTACGTTCGATGAAAATCAAGTAAATTGCTATTTTAGCTACCAGCATGAAACAGAAAGTTTTTTTAATTAGGTGAGCCTGTATAATAGAAGCATGCTCGCTTGCATGCTTGTTTGCCAATGACTCGTTAGACTTGGCTGGCATTTCAATGATCACGATTCCAAGTAGGATTAGGTTTAGGTAAATCAATTCACTGCTATTTAGCCTAATATACATATATTTATTAGTATAATATTATGTTTCTGTTGCAAGAAATTTAGTACATCTTTTAAAATCGTAAGACTTGATTTAGTTAATTCATATATAATTATTCACAATTCTTACTCATCTCATTGTATACTATTATTCTAAAAGACTGATAATTTAGATTATGAACTCTTGTGTCTTATGTTCGACTGCCATACCAATATGAAAAAGGAACACTAAAAATTAGTGCTCAATTAAACTTAAACCTTACTGAAGTAATATTGGAGAACAGGAGTTGATATTTGAGAACGCGGCTGTATTTCCCGTTCCCTTACAAACGAACCAAGTTTCGCCTCGCCTCCCGTTCGTTCGACTTTTAATCCAGCGAAATTGAATCTGTTTTTCTCAATTTGTCGTAACATTCATTAACATACGCATATACATAGTACATACATCAAACTATGGAAAGATTACAAGAGAATTCAACATTCTAGTTCTCCACTTGGTACCATTTCCAAGGTATTCCACAATTTGTTGATGACGTTGTAAGTGACATGGAAAATGTAATAGGACATTGGAACCCCCAGAAAACAGAAGACAGAAATATACATCAGTTGATAGGTCTACTCGTATACCTATATAGTCCCTGTTAATGTAATAGTAAGTACATAATTTTCTTTATCAATTTTTTTTTTTTATTTAGGTTTGAAAATACTAACACTATAAATATGATGTAAAAGTAATAACATTCTTCTGGATTCTAAATCAGATACATGTCTAAAATAAAATTTGTGCATCTCTTTACATTGTATTTATTTATTAATTAAATAGATATCATGCTGAGAGCCAAAATAAAAATGCTCATACCTACACATATTAAGGTAGTCATTAGCTTTTTATCGAAAATAATCAATTTATATATTCACGCTCGTATCGTTCAGATGATCCCTAAATATTACTATCGACTTTTATTTATCTAATCTCATCATCTTTTACTCCCCTTGTTGGCATTTATTGTGAAAGTGTTTTGCGACTATTTATTTACTTTTTTGGTCGTGCTACATCGTAATCCTCATTATTCAACTGGGTAATACATATATCGCACACGCCCTGTCGTCACGTTTCACAACCCTCGTTCACACCACCGGCATCTGTGTCTATTCTCACCCTCGTAACTCGTTATACAGGGTGCTCCAGAATGCACGACTTTACTGTAAGGATGTGAAAGAGGATGAAATTCTGAGTGAAAAATTCCTCTTCCACGTTTTCCTCTAATCGCTATTAATAATGTTTTCAACGATGAAAGTGGACTAATGGCATGTCCCCTAGAACGGTCACTCACAATCAGTGCCATAATACAGTAGCACGAGACCCAGTACCGCGCCATCTCCCACTTTATGACAGTTGAACTCGAACACGTCACTGGTCCACTTTTGTATGTATAACCATAATTTTGTTCCACTACGTCTGTATTATATTTCCAATTATACCAGCAACACCATTTGTTCATTCTTGACATAATATTGTATATTTTTCACTATTATCATGTTCTGTTCTTTCCATCTTTCTTTGTTTCTTTTCTTTTTAGTTTCCTTTAGTATCAAAGGCTTGATCAAACGGTAGTCTACGGTCTGAAATTCATTTCGTCAGATTCAATTTGGTTAAACAAAGTACAGTTGATCCAAATGAATGAAATTCCAGCATTTGTAATTCAGTTGGATGAATTATAGGGGATAAGATAAAAGTATGAGACAAAGGACACAGAAATACAAGAGACTTTCATTGTCATTGTCAGTTTTAGTAATGATTAAAGATGAAGTATAACGTAGAACCATTTCCTACCATTATTAAGGATGTCAATGGTTCACAGAGTGAATTGATGTGAAGTACCATTTGAAATTATATAGATATGTGTATAAGATTTATTTCAGTCTCATGACCCAGAAATGGAGTTGGTTTACATTTACGATTATCTCTACACACATCCCTGCCATCCCACACACCTCACTATTGTTAATAGACTCTGTACATGATTTAACTATAAACCCTCCATTTGGAATTATCCTTTGATGAAGGTCCTATCATTGTATTCATTTTTTAGAGGGCCAATAACTATATACGCTACCCTAATTGCTCATTTCGAATGATAATTCGTACTGACACATTTTGTATAATGTTCCCAAGTATATTTAAAGACATTTAGTTTGTATTCTGTATCTCATATTCAAAACTTCTCCTCTATTGTTAAATCAAATTGAATCGAGTGAATTTACTCTCAGGCTTTTACTATCAAAACTCATAATAGATCGCAAAACGTCCCGAGACACGTGCACGTCGATCACACACGCAGAATTATCAACCCTATCACGGCTCGCGAGCTACCGTGAAAATAATTAGCCGTTGGGCTTCGTCGTTATCGGGTATCGATAACGGCCGGAAATTTACGAACAATCCACGTCCGATTCGGCGAAACGGTTTTTTCTGCCGATACGTGGATGATGCCGCATCCGAGCCAATTTTTGTCTATTACAAAGGCTAGACTAAATTGTCGAGATGAGGATAAAAAAGTTTTCTAAAAAAAAAAAGAAAACTGAGCGCTTAGCAAGAGGGGATCGATAAAAAAACCGAGCGAGAAAGAATAGAAGTGGACAAGAAACGACTAAGTATTATACATAGAGAACGAGACAAAAAATGAGAGAAAGGATGTATAAAAATAAAAAAAAAGTCGAACACGGTGCCAGCTGCGAATTTTGATTGCAGCGAAACAAGCGAGCGCGAAGCTACAATCGGCCAAGTCAACCGAGGATGAGAACAATGAAGGTAAGATGAACGATCGGAGCTACGCAAACATCTACAATTATTACGGTTTATTTCGCTCGTTTTAGTCCTTTATTTAACACTCGCGGGGGATGAATATTTTGTCCTGCTCCGACGTCGTCCTGTTCTTTCCTCCGTTCTTTCACTTTTCAACCATCCCCGTTTTCTGTTAATCAACCCTCCCAACCTAGTATTCCCAAAAACCAAGAAGACCATCCGGAAGTAATTGACCTTTTATAAAGTGACTCGCTTTTGAATACACTACCAAATATCTTTTTCCTATACGTTGGCCAACATTTCTTTGTATTCGCAAATTTTACGGTTAAAAAATTAACAGTGGGCTTGCTTACTTTCTACAGGCTGAATCAACAAGAATTTTTATATAAAATAATTGATTATTCTCTTATTTCATTAATAC